AATGACTGAGTCCGGGTGTCCTGCCGCGGGGAGGCCATCCGAGAGAGGACAGATCCCGGATGTGACCAGACAGCGGTCCTTCCACCTGGCTTCAGCTTTGCTGCAGGGAACGATGTCCACCCCACACCCAGTCCTCAGGGTTCAAAGGGACTCCAGGGATGCGAAATGTGTTCTACCCTCTGAACACCTCGAGGTAGACCCGATGTTTCAGGGAACATCAGGCCCAGGAGTCACTCTGGGGACTTTTTTTGGCATCTGGGGAAGACAGCCTCTGTCTCTGCCCAGGCATGGTCCACGTGGCACCAATATAGGCCCGGTGATGCCAGCAGTGGTATACGGTGAGCTGGCCCACACAGGGAGCTTCAAAGTCGGCTGACATCACAAGGTGACATTCCTAGATCCAGCCACACCTGAAGCTCAAAACATACTGGGGCTTTTCATATCCTTGAGTTAAGTAGATTTCTTTTGTTGTCCTTGTTTGCTCAATCCTGCTTGAGTTTCAAGAGGTCACTGGTTTGTGACAGCAGAATCTCGGCTGGCAGAGAGGGTTGGGAGTTACGATTTTCTGTCTGCCCTGCAGCCCGGGCATCCTTTGCCACCCACGATGGCACAAGTCTGTTCCCCAGCCCGCACAACAATGGCAGAAGACCCGTAGCAGACTGGGCTGCCCAGGGCCACTCAAATAGGAGACGCCTGCACGCCAGGCTCGTGTTCCCCGCAGTGCTGCCCGCGTCTGACCAGCTCGCCCTAGTCCCCGGGAGGGGACTAGCGTGACCCTGCTCTTCAGGGCTACAAGACTCACAGGAAAAACTCACTCTTAAATGTAAGAGTATAGGGAAGCGGCCACACAGCGCAGGGCTGGTGGCACCACGGGTGGAAGGCTTGGGCGGGCAGAGTGCGATCAGACTGTCACCCATGGTGACACGCATCAGTACTCAAGGTGCCCAGGGAGAGCAGGGAGACACGTTGCCACCTTCAGTTGCCAATAAGTAAACAGAGGCACAGAGAGGTCAAGTAACTTTGCCACGGCCACGCAGCTAGTGGCAGAAAAAGGATGTGAGCCCAACAGAGCGGGTCCTCCGTGCTCACCCCCACGCTCACTGGGAGGACACATTTATACCTCCTGAGGGTGGTCTGAAAGGCAAAGAATTCCCTTCCCTGTACAAGGTTTTCTCCATGGTTCACCCAGTTTTGGGGAGCACAACTGAAGTCTGACCACCTAAAGGAGTCCCTGAAGGGCCCCTTCCTCCCTCCTCCCAGGCACAGGCTCCTGGGGGAGTGGGCAGTAGGGCAGCTCCCCAAATATTCTGGAGCCTGGGGTCCGGCCGTCACCCCAGCCCTGAGGCACAAGCCCACTGCTGCATGGCCCCCAGGCATGTGTGTCCCGGTGCAAAGGAGTACCCCGTGCTGGTGCTCTGTCACCACCCACCAAGGAGGAGTCTCGGGGAGCTGCTGCCCCTGACGGTGACAGAGACACTGGCTCGCGCTTGCTCAAATGCCGAAGACACCGCTCAGCTTCCAAGACACTCGGCTTGGCAGTGATCTCTGTCCTAAGCCAGTGGATCGTGGCTTTTTCTTCCCAGTCAGGATGCAGAGGCTCCTTTCATGGTAACGTTTAAGCTTTGCAGAGGAACCCAGGTGAAAGGGCATCTTGGGAACCAGAGCATTGCAGAGAGACCTTTGCTGCGGGTCCGAACCGTGCCCAGCCCTGCGGCTCACCAAAGGTCGGGTTAGATCAAATTAAAGCGGCAAACCTGGTGGAGTCTCCAGTGCCCGGCCTCCCTGACCAAAGGGCAACGTGACACAGAGCTTTGCTTTCGGGGCTTCTCCTCTCTCACCACACGGGGTGGAGAGGCAGCTACGGGCCGCTGATCTCCTGGCTTCTCCAAACTCAAGCATTTTCTCTGCACTATACTGTGCACCTAGCCGCTCATTAAGAGGCCACAGGAACCCCCGTGACATTTCCACACATGCTACAGCCCCGCCCCTACCCCGCAGGTAGGAAACAGGGCGCGCCCTCTTCCTGCTGGGTCCTGCGCCCAGCCTCTGGAGCAGACCTAATTAGGGTGGACGGCTGCCGTCGCGCTGGGCCTGCAAGAGGCCTGGACTGTCTCAGCAGAGAAGCCTCCGGCCCAGAGAACTGTCAGAACTGCCACACGGAAGAGCAGAAAATAGCAGATGATAAATTTTTTAGGACCACCCTCTGCTTGCCAGTTGTAGCAGACTGTGAGATAATGGACTGGGCTTTTTGGGAATATGCATTATTGATCTGGGTCTGTCTAGTGGTTTATACAAAGCCCAGCAGCCCCCCGACTGCCCCTTCCCGCCCCTCATCTCCTGAGGAAGCTCAGCTCGCTTCAAAAGCCAGGTCTGCGGAGGGAGGAGGACTGGCCCATCCTGGGGGGAGGACGGGCAGGCACTGATCTGGGCCGGTGAGTGCTCCTACGGGCGCTTACACGCCATTGAACAAGGGCCCTGATCCTACTTCCTGGAATTTAGCTTTCCCAAGTAGTCACTCGTGTGCAAAGATGCAGAGAAAACATACTCCCGGCAACGGGGTTTGTAACAGCCAAAAAATGAACAAACACGCTGGTGGTCTGGGAACAACTCAGTGCCCCTCCCAGGAAACTGGTTAAGCATAAAGGTAAAGACCGTGGGCGCTGGGTTCAAATTCTGTTTAACCACACGCCAGCGGTGCAACTTTGGACAAGTGACTTCACTTCTCTCTGCCTCAGTTTCGGTTTTTAAAACCCAGAGCAGGATTCTCTGTATTTTAAGTCAGCCGTGGTTTTGCCTGTCTTTTCCTCCAGCTTTGTCCCCGCCAGTGTCTGTTCTGTTGGTCTTACTGAGTCACAAATGTACAACAGCAGGCAGATTCAGCCACGAGGCGCAGGGCTCGCTCGGTACCTGGAGGTTTGGGCCCCAAATTCAGGAGCTGCCCGACCCTTCTCTTTTGCTTTGCCTCCAATCATCTGCTGGATGAGAGCGCCTGCAGGGCCTCGGCCCACCCGCTCCTCCCGGTCTGGGCTTCAAACCCGCTCAGTGACGCACCAGCCTCCCGCTGCCCGGTCTCTGCTCCTCCTACCGGCCACCCAGTCTCGGCGTAAAGGCCAGAGGGACCTGCTGAGGCCTGGAACGGCTTCGCTGCTCCTCCGAGGAAGGCCCTGCTTCTGTGTCCACTGCACTAAGCCCCTTGCTGTGGCACAGGCTCGGCACACCTGGGCCCAGGCGGCTCCCGGCTCCCTGGGATGGACCTTGGGGACTGACACTGTCCACTCCCAGCTCCCCACATGCTGTGCTACACCGAGACGCCTCGTAGATGGAGGGACACCGGCGCGTCTCGAATGCCCTAGCATCTCAACAAAACAGCTCTAGGAGCCACGCAAGGTGAGACCAAGGGGCTCCGAGGGCCAGGGCAGCCCACAAGGACTGAATGTGAGACTGTCAGACACAAAACTCACATTCCCATGGCCACAGGCTGCAGACTCCCCGTGGTTAGCAAATGCACCTCGTCCTGGCTGCCGCTGGGAGATGCACATCATATGTGTCACACTGTCAATAAAGGCTCTGGCTGCTTTCTGGCTGCAAATTCCTTTCACACTGATAAGCTTCCTGAGAAAAATCTATACTTGTGATCATTAATACAAATCATTGCAAGGAGTCACTGGGTTTTATATAAAGAGCATCTTTTTGGATAGCTAAAAAGACAGAATCAGATTGCCATCAATAATATTCTGTTGTCCCTGAGAGGGGAAGAGGGCAAAGGGCCTGCCCCTCACTTGATCAATGATCCGTGGTCCTTACCACAATCTCCCAGTGCCTCTGGGATCTCCTCCATCCTCTTGGTCCAGTCTCATGTTCTACCTTGCTTTCCCAAGCTCCAGTCACACTGGCCTTTTCAGTCCTGCCTCAGGACCTTTGCACATGTAGCACCCTCTGCCTGGAACACCTTCCCCCAGATTTTCATACCAAGGGGTAATACTGATGGTGAGAAGGCAACTCTAATTCAAAAGAGCAAGAAAATGCATACAGCGGAGCATCGTCCAGAGCAGCAGGGCCAGCCCAAGTGGCTACAGAGCACCTGCAAGGTGGCTGTGCCCTGAGACGTATCCCACGTGTGAAATACACAGCAGATGTCAAAAACTAAGAGATGCAAACTATTTCATAATTTTTATACTGATTACAAGTTAAGATTGATACTAATTTGGATATATTGGGTTATTAGAATTAATTTCACCAGTTTCTTTTTACTCTTAAGAAACATAGCTACTAGAAAATGCAAAATTATGCCGGTCATTTGTGTTCACGACTTGAGTTCCATCATTGTCCCTTGTTCTCCAGGAGGGACTGGTTTTGGGATGCCCCTTCCGAAACCAAACCCTGAAGATATGCAGCCCCTTACACAGGCTGGCACAGAATTTGCACAAAACCCTTCAGTCACTGCCATCTACGATTTTCGACCTCGAATCCCATGTTAACGCTGGGCAGACACTGCTACTCTGTCTTGTTTAAGGAATAATACCAATGACAAAGGTCTGCGCCCCTTCAGCACAGATGAGGCTCTCTCCCCGTGTTTTTGATCCAAAGTCTGCTGAACCCACGTGCAGAAATGGATCTGGTGGACACTGAAGTCTGGTGTATTTCTACAGGGTAGCAGTCATGCAGGCTTGCGGTGGAGAAACGGGACCCTTAGAATCAGAAAATTCAAGGGGGAGAAGACACAGGATAAAGAGAAAGAGTTTCAACCGGGAGAGGCCCCAGGGGTGAGTGAGAGACAAGTGGAGTGGACCCTGGGGCAGAAGGTCTGGCCGTGTGACTCCGGATGGCCTGGTCTCGCTGGCCCCAGGGGGTCTCCTCTGGGAGGAGACCCGCACTTGTGGGCCAACCCGAGTGGGTACCAGTTTCAAAGCACCCTGAAGGGAGCTCTCGGGTCTGCACAGCTGCCCTGCCCCAGGCGCCTCCTTGGAGCCCCGAGATGCCCTGCCGGGCGGGGTGCTCACCCAGCTCCACGTCCTGGTCGTCAGTCAGCACCAGGATGATGTTGGGCCGGATGTTCCTGCGGTCCCTCTGGAAGCGGCCCTTGAGGCGGTGGTGGGACAGGAAGGCCGAGCTCCCGCCCAGCAGGGAGAAGACGGAGGCGGACAGCAGGCAGAGCAGCAGGCCGGGGGGCGCCATCCTAGCTTTCGGCCGCTCCGTGGCTCCTCTTGGGATGTGGAGTCTGAAGCTGCGTCTTGGGGACCTTATTCTCTCCCCTCTTCCCTCCTGACGCACCGCCTAGGGGAGAAGGACAGGAACAGGGTCACGGTGCAAGCCCTGCTTGCTCTGCACGGTGGTCGCAGGCGGCTGGTGTAGACAATGAGAGGCACCAAGCACACACAGGACTTGGCTACGGTAATTACGTATCTGCAATTGGCACGGGACAGGGGCAGACTGGCAGCAGAGCCTCTGTGACCCCTCTGAACCCTCCCTAGGGACAGCTTAACGTGTGGGTGGCCAGACCCTGGTCAGTGACGGCCCAGCTTTGAATGCCACCCCAGCTCCACCCAACAGTCCCATCAAACAGCAGACAAGGAAAGGCACGGGCCAGGGACAACCCTGCCAGCTTGCTTCTGCATGGCCTGGGACAGTGGGTGGTCCCTGAGGTGTGGCCCCCAGGTCGGAAGGGGCACCTGTGAGCTTTGGGCTGCACCGCTGGCCCATTCCCATCCCAGGCCAGTTTCTCCTGGGCTCAGTCTGCCCACCAACAACCCAGGAAGGAGCCTCAGTTTCCCCATGAATAAGAAGGGGATGTAGCCATTATGAACTCAGGTGTATCAAAGCCCCTTGGCAAGAGATCCCAGAGCTGGACTAAGGTGTCTGTCGGTTTTAAGTCACAGAAGAAACAAAAGGACAAGACAAAGTGGAGGGCCCCACAGGGACAGGGAGAACTGCCACACGTGTCCACAGCCTCCGTCACCCCCTTGTCCCCAGGTCGGTCTGGGCCACAGGTCAGCGTGAGGGCGGGGAGGCAGCCAGGCAGGCCTCTGCTAAGGATCAGGGCGTCAGCATGCATCGCTGCGGCCGTGACCGTGAAGGGGTCTGGTCCCTGTGGTCCACAGTGGACCCTGGCCACCACCACAAAGGCTGGGCTCGGGGTGTTTTCGGCAGGTCCCGCAGGGCGCTGTGCCGCCTATGTCCTCTCCTGGGACAGCAACAGCGGCTGGGTTTCCCCCTGCTGCCCCTTCCCACTCTCCACTCTCCTGGGGCGGGGGGCACAGCTAGAGAGACCTCCCTCCACCGAGGGTCAGGTCACGGAGCAGGACGACAGCTACTCCTTCCCCAGCGCTGCCTTCGCCCTCCTGGCCCAGGCCCAGGTCCTGACGGTTCCCCTCTGCTGCTGGAGCCTGGGTGCTGCCTCTCCCCTCCTCTCTTTGATACCTGGTCTGCCTTACTTAGGGCCTCACCCTGGCTGGGATGCGGTGTGAGGCTGCCCAGGACGGACTAGTCCCCTCTGCCATCTCCTCCTCCCCGAACTGTGGCTCTCCACCCAAGGGACAGGGGACAGATCATCTCTGCAGAAAACAAGGTGACAGCCACAGCACAGGACAGCGGGTCACAGCCCACAGACACGGCTGATGGGTGAGGTGCCAGCCGCAAGGGAGGGCACAGTGGCCTCCTCCCCAGCTCCCTGCTCGCCGCCACCTGCACAGCTGCCGCGTAGGGGCCACCAGGTGGTGCTGGCTAACAGTGTGGACTCCGCAGTTCCTTCCGGAGTGATTTCAGGGAGGATCTTAACAGCTTCGTGCCTCAGTTTCCTCAGCTGCAAAGCGGATGTGAAAGATTTAAGGCGTCCACGCAGGACGTCGAGGCCGAGCATGGGCCCTGCAGCGTGGGGTGGTGGGCACTCTCCCGCGGGGTCTCCTTCAGGCCCCATGTCAACCCCTGGCCGCCACCATCACCTCCATCCCACAGCGGAGGAAACGAAGACTCAGCCCTGTCCCCTGAGCACCAGAGAGGCCCTGGGCGCTCCTCTTCTTGCAGCTGGCTTCTGCCCCTTGAGCGGTGCCCTGGCCTTCCGCTGCCCCCATGACTGCTTAACGCGCACATCCTTAAATGGTCTCGATTTCAAAATAAAACTACAAACACACGGTTTGGAAGAATACAATGTTCTGTCCACCCAAGCATGGATGGAAAATGGGTGTCCCCTCATGGGGAGCTAATCGCATAAACAGAGCCAAAGCTGGGCAGAGGCGCCCGCTCCCTCTCCACGTGGGCACTGTGCTCACGCACGCGCTCTTGTTAGTGCAGATTGGCAGGTGCGGAAAGGAATCAGCAAATTAGCACCATCCCAGACTTGGCGCTGCTGTGGGAAGGGGAGGTCGAGGGCTGACAGGAGAAAAGCCTGGGTCCCCCAGGGGTGTGGGGAACACCCCATGACTGACTGGCACCCCCTCTCCCCTCCCCGCCAACACACACTGTGGGGGTGCTTTACACTGGAAAGTGTGGATTCATGTTCCTCCAGCCGCACAGCCACCACGACAGGCTAACACCGCTAGGGAATCCCCAAGGGCTGCCAACTCTCCCACTAGAACCAAGCGCAAAAGCTTCCCGAGAGCTCTCGGTGCCCCAGCCACTGCTCTGAGCATTTTACAGGTGTCCATCTGTTGTTTACCCATCAAGACTGAACCCATTTAACAGAGGAGGAGGCCAAAGCCCAGTTACCTCACTTCCCAGTGAGATCACCCGGCCAAGAACGGTTCACACTCATCTGCCAGCTCAACAGATGCCCTGGAGGCAGATCTGAGGGCGAGTTCCTAGGATGCTGAGACAAAATACCTGGCACCCAATGTAGAAGGGGGAAAGGTTTATGCGGCTCTCAGTTTGTCCCTCATTGGCTGGTTCCAAGGCAGGGCACTGAGGCAGGCAGGCACTGCGGAGAGACAGTTCATGGAGTGCAGGAAGTGGCACAGCAGGCAAGCCACAGACCTCCTTCTGTGCCCCGTGTTGCATCCGGGCCACCGGCATCAGAGCAGAGCCAACCCAGAGGGCCGCTTAGTAATCATCCATTTTTAATCCTAGAAACCTTAATTTTAGCATTGCACCATGAATGAATCACACACCCTAGATTCAGCCACCACTGAAAAAGCCCCACCTATGACTGCATGAAGCTTTAGGGGGACATCTAGACCCAGCCACAACACACACCCTGGCTTCAGTGTCCTCCTTTGCCAAATAAGGCAGCAGGCGGCCAGGTGTTCTCTGAGGGTCTTTTTGGCCCCGAGGCTGTACTGTGTGGGTACAGGGGGGCCAGGAGACTCAGTGTCTTAGGAGCCCTCGGCCAGCAGGGATGGGCCGGAGTGCAATCAGCTGGGTTTCTGGGTTCCGGTCCTGTCTCCCTCCTCCGGCCGGCGGGTCTAACCTGCCAAGAGGACGCCCTTCCTTCCTGCGGATGGAGTCAGAGCTCCCGACCAGGGCGCAGGGTAACAGGAGCTAATTATTTCATCAGATCAAGTCATCAGTGGGTCGATTTTTGATGAATTCCCCTGGCTCAGACTCATCCTGGGCCCATGCCAGCCCTTCTCCGGATGCCGAAGGAATCAATTAAAAATGACACAAGGGATTCTGCATCCTTTTTTTTTCCTTGGTACAACATTCCAAGTGGCTGTGGCAGGAGTCTGTTGGATCGCTAACACCCGGCCTGCTAACACCCGATCCACTGCCGGTCCACTACCTGTCTAACCTGCTCTTTGAGGGTCTGTCCAGCACCTCCACTTCCTCCTATGCTTTTTCACAGGACTTAACGAAGGGCCCCAGACCAGTACGACATCTATGATATCCCGAGTGTTTAGAGACAGTGCTGCTGCTTGTGGGGCCATCTGCTGATCCGCAGACAGTCTTGGGGTAATCATCAACCTCCGTCCTGGCTACCACCCCTGGAGGGTGACTGGGAACTCACCTAGGCCTGCCTGGAAAGACCCAGCGGGCTGCTGTCACTGAGGATCCCCAAATCTGACAAAAGGCACAGACAGAACTTTGGATCAGGCAGCGAGGGTGTGGGAGAGGAAGTGGGTGGGGCAGAACAAGGCTGGGTCAGATGGGGCTCCTGATAGGAGGCAGAAGGAGTTGGGGGTGGGCAGAGGGGCCTGGAGCCAGCACCCTGCAACTCCCAGGCCCCCACGTGTCCCAGCGTGGTGGTGGCCGCCTGCCTAGCTCCTCCCCCTACTTACAGATAGCATAAGGGCCTGGAGTGTGTGAGGCAGGGTGATCCTTTCCACACGGGGCAACAGCCTCCTAACGGGCTTCTCTGCTTCCAGCCAGAAAGCAGCCAGAAAGATCCTGTTCCAACAAAAGTCAGACCCTGTATTTCTCTACTACAAGCCTCTGAGAACCTGCAAACTCTCTGAAGGGCCACCAAGACTGAGCAATCTGCCTCATTTCCTCTCTGACCTTATTCCTTTCTTCTCTCCCTCCTCACCTGGTCCCAGCCACGTGGCCTCTGCATTGCTCCTTGAACATGCCAAGTGGGCCCAACCCCAGGACCTTTGCACCTGCAAATGCCGCTGCCTGAAGCCTTCATCCAGACACAGTATCTTCATAGCCCTGTTCTCACCTCCTTCTGATCCACTTTTGCGCGTTGAAATGGAAGTCTCTGCCCTCCCTGGAGCACTTATCACCTCCGACAACTGGCTGCTTTACTTATTTCTGTGTCAGTTCTCTCTCTGTCCTTTACGGAGGGAATGTCACCTCCCTAAAGGCACAGGTATTTTTCAGCTTTGTGTCTGTATTGCAAACACCTAAAACACAGCTTGGGACATAGCACTCAAAATATCTGTGAATGTGATGAAGAATTTTCTCCTTCCCTGCTCCCGGGAAGGGTCCCTCACTGTGCTGACTGCCCACCGCTGCTTTCTTCCCCCCACTCCCCTAGCTGGACTGAGGGCAGGACCACATGACCCGGATGGAGCCAATCAGCACATCCCATCTCTCTAGCCCCAGCGATTGGCCCAGATACAGACACTTGACCTAGGCCTGGCCAATGAGAGGGCATCCAAGACCGTGGATGGGTTTCTATGGGCGCTGGGAGTGGGTAGATTCTGTGCTGGTGGCAACTGCCGACTAGATACCCAAGAGAGGTGGTCCTGGTTACATAGGCTGACACACTGTGCCCTGAAGGCAGTTAGGGTTAGGAGGGCTGGAGGAGAGGCTGGGCACTTCCAAGGCACCCTTCCTGGCAGGTTGCTGGGCGCTAACGACCACACCTCTCTCCAGGTGTCAGCAAACATTCCCGCCATCGC